ATATATATATATATATATATATATATATATATATTTCAGAGTTAAAAAAAAAACGGTTTCTATCTCCTTGTGTACTTACTAGCACCTTCAGATGTGTATTTGTACACGGGGTCGGGAATCGCTGGAATTAATTCCGTGTATGAATCTGGCATCATGTCTCGAATCCTTTGATGATATGACAATCTAAAAATGTTCAAGCTTTTATACGTTCATAATTTGACATTCTGTTAATCTCAATGATATCAGCATATACAAAATCACATTCTAATAGCACTGTTTATTTAAAACTGTTTATACTCAATGTATTTACCTTAAAGCTTTAAGCAAGACCTCCCTTATAAATTTTGGTCTTGGATGTTCCGGGTCGCGTTGCAAACAAGAGTCCCAATCCTCCCACGACCAACGGAATTGAAAGTTGCTTAAATGATAAGCAAACCACCAGACGAAACGGTCGAAAGCAGTAGCCGCCATACTGTCTATACGGCGAAATAGAATTTCTGTGGCTTGCGCCAGTACCTGCAAATGTACACCTGTAAATGTTACATCTTCTGCTTTGGGATCCTGCTATAATTTCGGATGACGACACGTAAAATTTATAAATATAATGTTACTCGTTTTCTAACCTGTGGCATTGTCGAAGGTTGTAATTTACAAAGCTCAATCAGAATCGATCCATAGCAAATCTCCAAGTGCTTTGGAGCAGGTAGTCTAAACAATTCACCAAATATTACTTCAACTATACAGTAGTCTAAGGGGATTTTGGCTTTGAATGGGAAGTTTAGTAGTTGAGCAGCACTGCAAAGTAAAGAATGATCAATAACATTTTATATATAATGAGATGAAACTGCTCCATATTTATCTTTCATAATTTCTGTCCCATGAATTATTGAACCAATTTTTTTTCTCTCAACACATGCATTACATACCAATCTTTTCTCTCAAAGTAATAATTGTTAATAATCTGTCGTAGGTGTTCTTCTATCAAAAATCTCTCGATAGCATGGCTTCCTGGTAATAATGGCCCTTCAGCGGGGCAATCTGTATAATCAAACATACGAAAGACGACAGTGGGTAATGGGTAGGAATAAGATTCGTGATGCGGAGGCGCCATTAATTGTGGCAAATTATGCTGTAATGCCTCGCACAGAATAGAATCGAACGCAAGATATGGGCGAGGAATGTGCTTCTCAGCCCAATTGTCTTGTCTCAACTTGCGAACTTGAGCCCACAAACAGTCCAAGTACTCCTCTTGTGGATGAGGAGTGTCACTCGACCAAACTCTCAATGCTGGTTGATGTTTCTTACTTCGTTTATTTAAAAATATTTCTATGGTTACCATCAAATGCTCCAATTCTTGCTCTTTCTTTTCATACAATTCTCTGCCAACCCATGGCAATGTCGACAAAACAGCATAAACATACCTGTAAATTATTATAACTACAAGAAAAAAATGATACTAAAATAGCAATACACTTATTCTACATAACTCGCACATAATAAGGATGTCTCTATATAGAAATATGAAGAAACTTTTTTTTATGTACCAATCACGTCTCACTTGTGGTACACCATCTTCATTGGCAGCATCCAGCATATTGTCAAACAGTTGCATCAATGATCCACATGACAGAACATGGCAATTTACTAAATCAGCTAGAAACCTAAGGGAATATCTAGCTACATCCCATTTGCATACTTTCAAAGAATCCTTGAAATTTTTCACCATATAATCGACAAATTCTCCACCAAAATTGAAATTCTTTGCATTTAATAATCCGACAAGTGTAGTATAAATTGTACATTTTTCTGGCATTTTAATAGCACAATCTGTTAAAATTCGAAGTATTTTGCTGCGGAATAAACCCAGGTCAGCTTCTAATACAGAAGCCAAACCTTCTAAGTTACTTTCCAAAGATGACGTTGATTTCTCTCCAACTCGTAAGATAAGAGATTCAAGACGATCTTCAATCTCTTGATTCTCTGATACCCTCCTACGCTTCTTATATACACGTTCTAAAAAAATATACATAGTTTTATAGGTATAATAAATATAAAAATAATTATGGGCGCATACATAATAAGATTGATACAAATATTTTTTATAGTAAGGAAACATTCCTAATATATATATATATATAACTGCTTGGAAGAAACTTTCTATAGAATTCTGTGTAAATATGCTATATTTTCTGATATGAATTAAGGATGTGAAATTCAAATTTTACAAAATTAAGAAATTTACTATATAAAGCATAATAATTATAGCAATAATTTCAAATATTTATATATTCTATTAAAAAAATACATCACACAATTCTAACAAATTTTATCCAAATCGACAAGAAAATATATTTTCCCTTTAATCTTTAAAATTTCTTAGAGATTTTACGTAAAAAAAAAAAACGAAAATAAAATAAAAATAAGTTTATATATATAATCTTATTCATGTACATCGAGACAAGCAAAGAATTCGGAACGAAGCACCTAATGTCAGAAAAACGGCAAGAGTTCAACGAGATATTGCTACTTACCATAGCCCTCCTCTTCATCGTGTACTCTTTTACGACTCATATTTCATAATACAAAAACTACTGGGAGGGATAATCTGAAACGCTTCACGAATTTCGTATTTGGAACAAAATTGATATTTCCGTATACTGATTGTGTTCCCTTCAAGTTATACACTGGACGCCGTGTAGTTACAAAATTTCATATACATCGAATCCTAACCCCGTTACGTATGTACGAACCGTCCGAACAATCTGGAGTAGAATTCATGCACTGATGTAATAAAGTGATGATAGGTTAAGCGGGGTCTACAATGAAAATGTAAGCTTTAAGAAATTGACCAGTCACAGTCGAATATGAGAAGAATTGTGATTGGTCAATTTCTTACACCTTCTGTTTATGATCTCTGACAAAGTATTAGACAGATGTAAAAGTTACTAGGAATTACTGGATATTCTAGTAGTTTTTTCATATTACCAAATAAATACTGAAAATCATATACTGAACTCGCTTTCATTGATAAAATATCCCGGTCTACAATAGGTGCTTTAAGCCTTAAGAAATTGACCAATCACAGTCGACTATGAGGAGAATAATCAGCTGCGATTGGTCAATTTGCCAAAAGCAAGATTATAGACAAGAGGTTTCTTTCTAAGACGAATCCAAGAGTTTCTCGCAATTTCCGCTTGTCCTGAAACTTGTCGCAAAGAAAGACACTTGGTCTGTTCTTTTTAGTTGAATCGGTTGCACTAGCTCAAGAAATTTACATGCACTTAAAGGATGAGAATCTCGTGCATACACTTCATACGTCTCAATGTGGTACATAAATTTCTCAAACTACCTAAGTAGTACAGCTAAAAAGATCAATCGTTTTTCTGTCTTTTTCATGTATATTCCAAAGTGCAGGTTGCCTAAAAGCAAGACAGGGCGGACAATCTTTTCACGCTTCACTCCCTATATGTAAGGTACAGCGAATTTTTCATCTGTAGTAGTACTACATCAATCGCGCCGTTGGCAATGCTTCATGTTCGCTTGATAATCTCTCGGGTATCATGTTTCGGACAAAATTAGATCGAAGTATCTAAATTTCTCGTTTATCGTACAGACGTGCGCGATCGAGTGGCGCGCGCGACATTTCGTAATCAATCGGTCGATCGATCGATCGTAGCGGCATTTCGCGTTTTCGCCACGCGTACGTATCGAACTGCTTTCTGCGTCGTGTGCGAGGAGGCAGGTCGCGCGCGCTCGGTGGCTGTGTGTGCGCGCGCGTGCTTCGCAACGAAAACAGAGTCCGTCGACGACTCTACGCAGCTACCCCGTGTCGCTCTCCCCGTCCGACACACAAAACAAAGCTCGCGGGACGCACGGAAATCTCCAAGTGAGCGAGCGAACAAACGGAGGAACTCGACGTCTCGGACGAGAGAGAGAGAGAATCAGCGATCGATATGACACTCGCATAACGCACGTAATCATGGGTCGCCGTTCTTACCGAAGGTTATCGTCGTCACCGTCGACGTTGTCGCACGTAAACACGACGGATCGCGGCGGCTTGTGAAGATGGAAGACTGAGCGAGGGCGGTGCGCGCCCCTTCGATTGCGGCCAAGGAAGGACTCTCTGTTCGTCTCTCGCTCGCTGCTAATCGTGTGTGTCAAGCTTCTGTGTGTCTTCTCCTCGTTATCGCGTCGCGCAGCGAAACCGTTCGGATGCGGAGGGTGCCACGATGGTGATACGGTAAATAATCTACATATAATTCTGTTTTTACGAGGAAACAGGCGGAGAAAGAGAGAGAGAGAGAAAAAAAAAAGAGCGGTCCTCCCCCCCCGTTTGGTCGATAGTATCGCACGACAATCGTGTCACGCCGATCGACATGCCGCAGTGCACGATTTTTCTATCTGCAGCCGCGCGTTGTGCGGCTCGTGTGTGTGTATATATATATATATATATATATATATACTTACATGGAGACATGTTTGTCATATATTTACCAAATAGAGGTCGTTGAGAAGGTTTTCTTGGCGCGTTGCGTGACACGAAACGACCGTAGCGACGATATCAATTGTTAGGAGCGATCGTCCTTTTTTTTTCTCTCTCCCTCCCCCTCTCTCGACCTCTCCCGCCGGCCGTTTTGTTTACCGCCTCCACACGCAATAGAGCAATCGCTCTCCATGGCTCCGGGCTGAGCGTATGCGCGCTTTGAGCGGTTGCTAAGTACGCTAAACAGTCGTTCGATAATTTGGTCATATGTTTATTGCGTTCCTTTCGCTACGCTTGCCCGCCAATTTTCCGCATCGCCGAAAGAAGTCACGATGCTTATCGCGTATCTGCATTGCCATCGACAACCGTCATTTTCACGAATGTGCAATTTTAGATCGAGTCTTGATAAATGGATGGGAATCGAGACGTCTTATTGATGACCGAGATTATTGCAAAATAATATCGGTGGAATGCCGCTGTGTTACCGGAAAACAATGAACAACCGGCGATATTTTTGTCGGAAGATATTGCGTCATGTGGTCTGTTTTTTTTAGCTTAATATTTCCATCAATATGCAGCGAAAATTTAAAAAGATTTCTAAGAAAACGGACCGATTACTTTAAGCGTTATTACGACTCTTGGCAGCGTGGGCAAACGTCTTTTGTCAGAAATTACGTTACTTCTTATTGCTTAGAATAAAAGTTTACAGCTATTGTGTATTCGGACTTACCGACATGGAGAATTACACGATTTCAAGCTTACGTGCAGAAAATCGCACAAATAACTGTAATTATATGGTAAAGTTACACAATGGCTCCCTAATTATAACGGTCTCATGTATAAGACTGGAAATTTGTATAATTTTCGATCCATGGAATGGTAAGGCACATATAACGCAATGTATACGTCAATCGGTACGTCGTCAGGTAAATTTTGCCTTGCGAGCGACGTATGTTTCAGTCGTAATTCAAACATGTCGTTGATATGTAAGAAGTTTCCAGTGCAAAAGGTGCGTCTATCGAGCTCGCTCTTTGTATCCAGAACGTCTCGTATCTCCTTGTCATTGTTTAATGCGCGCATTAATGGCTTGTGAACCATTAAACTTGCTGTAGCATGAACCTTTGTTGTTCCCGACGTCTTATCTCGAGCGAGATCTGTAGCCAAACATGAGACAAGGTAAAACAAAGAACTCGAAGGTGCAAATGTGCTTGTATAATTATCCCGGCTGTGTTGACGAGATTAGAATCTCTTCTACGCATTAATCATTTCACTTGTTTCAATTTCGGAACGCACTCAATCGAATTAACAACAATTAATTATGATGCAGAAGTAAATTAATCTCGATACAAGTCTTTTCGAATGGATCAGGAGCATGAATGGTTGTATACATGTGCTATATCCTCTAGAAATATTTTACAATATATTTCCGGTATGAAAAATTATTCAAATTTGATCAATTTAAATGAGCAGCAGTCGTAATAGCTCGTTCGCCTATAGGTATTTACGAAAAACAAAAATCGAGGATGATTAGGATATTTTCCGGGAGATATTCTAAATGAGCACGGCACAAACGCATCTCTGAGAATCAAATACACTGTGAAATAAAGCCTTCTATTTCTTGAAGCAACGATCGTTTCAAACCGCACCGAGACGATGATATTGTCGTACAGAAGCCGAAAGAATTTGAGCCTATCATTTTTGCCAACACAGCAGTTACGAAGCGGCTATTACACGTGCGTTTTCGCAGACATTTGATTCTCTCTCGCGAACTGATAGAGAGGATAGATAAAGGGAGCGAGAATGAGAGTCTCTTCAGTCAATTATGATCTTTATATTGAATGTTTCTCATTGCAGATTATAATATACCAATTCGCAGCTTGCCGCGTATGCAATTGTTCAGATTTGTCCTGCAACCGCGTGAAGATCCTTAAGACTGCCCGTCCTTACCTTTACCATGGAAGTAGTAGTCTATAAATCCTGAACTGAAAGGAGGATGCCAGTAACTAAACGCATTCTATATCCTTCGCGGTAAGTAAGTCGTTTACGTATCACGTAATGTAAGCCACGACGAAGCTTACTCTCTTTCTCTCTCTCATCACGTACGGCTTATGTTCGATATGGATTCTCATAGAACGCACGCCGTAAAAATTATCACGGTGTTTATATGCGCGAACCTCTCGAAAGAATCGCAGTATGGACTAAAACAACGAATTATTTCCAACATGGTTCATTTATTATCCGTAAATTCGGGATAAACGCGGAAAACCGTTGCTATCTCTCAAACAGTATGATATCTCTTGAACGTGCAAAATGTTTGTCTGTCGACAAATTAACTGGCGAATATATTGAGTTGCATAAAGTCAGTTTTGCTCGATTACTTCGCTGTACGATCTGTCGTGTGTTAGATTAATTTTTGCTTCTGGGAAATCGGTAAACAGTTACGGACATCCTTCTGTGTTCGATATCTCCTCACAATTTTTAACATATTAATCCCATTTTAACTCCCAACAAAACCTTTTTTCCGTGGTGGAAGTTATAATTACGCAAGCTTAAAACACTCAGAGAGACCGAGTGCAATATAATATGTGCAGTTTATAACACAGTAGGCTATATATAATTATACTCATCCTCTATTTTACTCTCACGTTTTTTCTAACTAGGGCTATTATGACTGCATTGTTTCCGTCTGAAGATTTATCTACCTTTCTTTCCCGCAATATTAAAAATTTTAATAACGCTCTGCTTCGTGAAATTAATAAAGCTCATAGAAGATCATAGCACATAGTAATATATTTATATATATATGTAAGTTATCGTATTTTATGTAAGGGTGACATGCCACTGTTCTTTTAGGTACAAGTATCAAAAGTTGAAGAAAAAAATATTTGTTGTTGCTTCAATGTTAAAATATTGGTGTGAAATTAATGATTTCATTAGATGATTAGTTATTAAAAATAAATTAATTAATGTGCTTGCTGCAGAAAGACATCTATAATAAAATCTTGTAAAATGTTCATTGAGAAGATTAGACTTAAAATTCCGTCAGAGAATGCAATGTCGGGGAAAGTGGTGAGTCACTCTATGTGCGTGTATATATATATATATATGTGTGATTTATATTATACCGTATGTTTTACATATATTGTGTTAGATCCGACGGCGGTAGTAGTGAGAGTCCGTTACTCGTGGAAGAAGGAGAGACGGTCGGCGCGCCTCACAGTCCACGCAATAAGCATAGTCACAGCCATTCACATAGCAATCCCCATCGGTCTCACAGTTATCATCATGAGAAGCCGAAACAATTAGTGAAATACGGAGAACTAGTTATACTTGGGTAAGAAACTTCCTGCGAGTGAGAAAAATTATAAAGAAAGAGGGAGAGAGAGAGAGAGAGAGAGAGAGAGACAAGAAAGTAGAAATCCCAGAGAGAAAGGGAAATGACAATTTTCTTTTTTTCTACATGACTCCGATAGATACAATGGTTACCTTCCATCTGGTGATAGGGGAAGAAGGAGAAGTAAATTCGTACTATACAAAAGACCAGTGCCAAATGGCGTTAAACGTAGTAAGCACTACATCGTTAAGACGCCCCATAGCTCGCAGGCTATTCTCAACACGAAGCAACACTCGATCTCATATACACTGTCCAGAACGCAGGCCGTTATCGTCGAATACACAGAAGACGAGGAGACGGACATGTTTCAGGTAAGCCCAGATACTTTACAACTGGAGAACTGTTGTTTAATAATCCGGATCTACGATAGGTGTAATAATAGCAAAAATAAAATGGAATTTCTAACAAAAAGTATGTATTTCTCGCGTTGCCAAAAGTAGTTTTAATGACGCTTAAAAACATAGGAATTGCAATACTATCCAGTAGCGATCTACAAAATCGGCGGTTATCCTCGTTCAAAGAAATGTCCGCTGAATAAATTTCACGCAGCAATGCGTCGATTGATATGCTTTATTAAATTAAATCGTAATCATTGAATCAACTGCAATCATGGATTCAATAACTCATTGCAGGAACCATATAACTACTACATTTTTTTCTCAGTGCATCTTTTGTCATCTTTCCCTGACAAATCACTTATTATCGTTCAAAATAGATCACTTTTTTTCCTGTTTCATTTGTAAAATATAGGCGCTCTATTTTGCTGTCTCGTCTGCTGCTACTCGCTCACTGAGTACCAATTTGTCGACTAAAGTTCTTCAAAATTCTGTTTCGAGTAAGAGGGGTGTGCTATATTTACTAGTAGTTCCGGACTTGTCTCTTGAATTTCGCTCGATTTATGCAATTAACTTTTCTTTCACGATGCGTGTGAATATGATAACGTGTTTTTAGATCGGTCGTTCGTCCGAGTCGCCTATCGATTTCGTGGTAATGGATACGTGCGCGGGCGGCGGAGATGGCGGTCCCGCCAACGAAGGACGCGTTGCCCAAAGCACCATCAGCAGATTCGCCTGCCGGATTCTAGCGGATCGATCGGACCCGAGAATCGCTCGAATTTATGCCGCGGGCTTCGACAGTTCGAGAAACATTTTTTTAGGTGTAAGATTCGGAATTGATCGTATGTATCACGCGCTCGATGCCGAAGATACTATACACGGGGAAACTTGATATTACGCAGGAAAAGGCAACCAAGTGGCAAGAGAATCGTGAGATCGACGGTCTCACGACGAATGGGGTTTTAATAATGCATCCTCGGGGTCAGTTTTGCGGCGGCGAAGCGCAATGCGGCTTCTGGCGGGAGGTCAGCGTGGGCGGTGGAGTCTTCTCGCTTAGAGAAAGTCGGAGCGCTCAGCAGAAGGGCAACGTCGTGGAGGATGAGAGTAATATCTTACAGGACGGCACTCTCATCGATCTTTGTGGCGCTACTTTGCTCTGGCGATCGGCAGAGGGTCTCGCCAAGTCTCCGGTAATACTCTCGTTTACATCTTCACGTGTAACTTGACCCCTCGTGTGTGTTCCTCTCTCGCAGACCAAGCAAGATCTGGAGGAATTAGTGGACGCTATAAATGCCGGGAGGCCGCAATGCCCGGTAGGCCTCAACACGTTGGTCATACCGCGCAAAGCAGCCACAGACTCGACGCAACAACAGCCATACGTTTATCTCAAGTGCGGCCACGTGCAGGGACATCATGATTGGGGTCAGGAGAAGGACAAGGTTACGAGAAGGTGTCCGATGTGCCTGGTTGCTGGCGCAGTGGTGAAGCTGTCCATGGGAATAGAGCCCGCCTTTTACGTGGACTGTGGACCACCGACTTACGCGTTTAGTCCCTGTGGTCACATGGCTACGGAGAAAACCGTCAAGTTAGTACTTCTTTCCCGCTTAGAAATCTCGCAAGTACTTTGTATTAGTGATCAGGGCAATCTCGATTTTTCTATCGATTCCTTTCGAATCGATGATATAATTTATTCATCAATGTTGTTGCGTTTCTTGAAGAATTCATACAGGGATCAACATCTGATATAATTAGCAGAGCGTTAGCTTTAAGCAACTACATATCAGGAGACTATACAAGTGGACGATAAATTTGGCTATAAGCAAAAGTCATTATCAAAGATTTAGAATTTCGGCCAATCAAAATCTTACTACTTCAACGGAATATTTCATTTATGCACACGGAACGCGGAGACGCTTTGATTATTAATGATTATTTTTTATGCTCTAAACCTAGTTGAATACATGAGAAATTTGTATGAGAAATTTGATTTCAAACTACATTATGGTTATTGCCAAATATACGTGACGAAAGATGTAACATTAATAAAACGCACCTTCTCTTCGTTTTTGCCAACCTTCATTTGGCATATATATATATATATATACCAAATGATAATATATATATATATATTTTGCCAACCTTCATTTGGCACAAAATATATATATATATATATATTTCCCTCGTTGTTCCTTGTTTGTTCGCAGATATTGGGAGAAAGTAGCCATACCGCATGGCACGAACGGCTACATCGCAATCTGTCCCTTTTGTGCGGTCCCACTTGAGGGAACACCGGGATATGTAAAACTAATTTTTCAGGATAATGTAGATTGAAGTTCTAAGATAATGGAAATATGTAGAAATTCATAACTTCTTAAGAAATATATATAAGAACTATTAAACAAAAACTTGAGAGAAAGCGGTTGTTGAATATGACCCAATAGTTGCGCCTGTCGTATACTCTCCTCAGTCCCAGTGGAAAAAAATTATGTCAGAACAAATGTTTTCTTATCATATTATGTATATTCAATATCGAAAAATATATTTAAAAAAAATACGTGGTACAGAGACGTGCAACATGTGCTAGTTAAGCGGCAGATTAGACTTTTTCTAGCTAGTTGCACAAAGGACCTGAGTAGAATATCACAATCGTTCAAGAGTTAAAAGATATACAGAAGGTGTGTATGTGTGTGTGTGTTGCTGAGAAATTGTGAGAAGAATTAAGAGATATACGAGAAGAGGTACAGATAATATATTTTTAACATTTTATTGCCAAAATACACGAAAGCACGCTTACTCATTCTCTTCCGAACGCAAGCGTGCACTGGCATTCGTCACACGTATTGAAAGCTGTCGAGCACGCTCGACAATGGATTTCCGCTTCTTGCTGCTCACTGCGTGTGCAATCTCTGCACAGAATTTGCGATTCTGCATCATTAGCACTTCCAATTCCTAAAAATAAATTTACTCATATCCCACTGCAGAATATCTTGCAAATGTTGTCAACTTATTAAAAAAAAAACTAATAAATTCATATTCTACATTACTTGTGTCACCTGAACAATTATGAGTTACAATGAGAAATGTGATAAGTGAGATAATTTCATGACAAAAATTCAAAATATTTTTATATTACTTATATATAAATATTTTTTCATTATCTAGTGATTGCCTCTATAATTAAAAAAAAAACGTTTTCTAAATGTTTCTGCGAATTTTTTCAGTTCCTTTCCTAAAGGTAGAGAATTCATTTTAAAAAATTCACGTGAATTCGGTTAAAGAAGATAAATAATTATGTGCACTTAACTGAGAAGTTATATTTATAGTTTTGGAATGAAAATTGTTTTTCTTTTTTTTTTCAATTTTTCTTTATCGTATCTTTTGGCTTCTTATTTTTTTTACGGAAAAAAATAAATATAGCTGATTTTAACCGAACACCTGTAAATTTATTTAAACGAACTTGTACATTAGAAAAACCGAAAAAATTTGTCGAAAAATGAGGAAAAAACAGGAGTTTTCCCGAAACTTTATAAGTTAAATGAAGTTAATGTTTTTTGTAATGAGCAATACAACAGAATGCATTATAAACAACACACACTCACATAAAAAGCTTCTAACTTAAGTTGCTTTATCCAACCCTGTTTATTATATATATTTTGTTCATAATATATTCTGTTATAATTTTTTGACAGTAATATGTAAAAAGTGTATGTTATTACTTGACATATTAACTTTATTTAACTTCAGTTAAGTGCACGAAATTATCTTCTTTTTGGAAAGAAGTAAATTTGAGAAGAAACCAATTTTAACGGAACACGCGTGAATTCTAAACGAATTTTTTAACCTTGAGAAAAAATGAAAAAAAGTTTTCTCGAGCTTTCAAAACTATAATAACTTCACTTTGTTCGTTACCTTAATTTGTGTGTGAATATAATTAAAAGATTTGATATAAAAGTGAAGTTTACCTTTACATTATGTACAAGGACTTTGCGGAAGCCAGTTGGTAACATATGACGCGTTTTCTTGTTGCTACCATAACCAATGTTGGGCATCAAATACTGGCCCTTAAATCGTCTACGGACTCTGTTATCAATACCTTTTGGTTTACGCCAGTTGCGCTGAAAAATCAAATAGTTACGATTAACTGATGAAATAAAATAATTGAACATACACTACTCAGTATATAATTTTTAATGATTATGTAGTGATTAATGATTGACAATTTTTTTTTCTTGTCGTAATCGGCAACATAGGGAGTACACAAATATTGTTGTATAAATAACGAAATGTGTTGAGCGGAAAAGTTACATACCTTAAGTTTATCATATCGGTCGCTTTGATGCCTGATAAACTTTTTCGTCCTCTTCTTCACAATTTTTGGTCGATATACCGGCCGGATAGACATTTTTACTCCTGTTTAGTACACCTGAAACAACAGTCGTGTTACTTTGGCTGTGAATTATTCTGCCTGCGTTTCTTTCCCGAAAATATAGCACTTTTACACTTTCAAAAATGACTAACGATTAATTAATTAACATGCAACGCTTGTTATATTACTGATTGTTGTAAAAATGGACGATTCGCCGCGTGGTACATACAATCCGTTAATACGTCCTCGGTACGAAAGGTTGGGTCCTATCGGTTTCTTAACCTCTCCCAAAATGAACATTGAATATGAAAATATAGAATGGAAGTAAATATCCTTGCAGGTTTCACGAACAGTACGGGAGATTGCGTCTACATTCGATATCCAATAGAAGAATTGGATAAAGCGGGCTCTACAATGAAAATTTAAGCCTTAAGAAATTGGCCAATCACAGTCGATTATTCTCTTCACATTCGACTGAAAATTTAAGCCTTAAGAAATTGGCCAATCACAGTCGATTATTCTCCTCACATTCGACTGTCATTGGTCAATTTCTTAAGGCTTAATTTCTCATTGTGGACCCCGCCCAAGCGTAGTTAAACATAATCAGTACTGCCAGTGTACATACCCTAGTTCCTGGAGCGAGATTTCTGTTGGTAGATGCTTGAAAGGTACTCGAATTTCTAATAACTTCTATGTTCGGGATTGTGGCCCTAGGGCTCTTGAGTTTAGTCAAATTTGCTGTGATTCGTCATATTTCAATACAACCTTTATTCTAATCCTTATGGCTCTCGCTCTCGATATCCAATGAGCGTGCAATTCTTATGGAAAATTAATGTGCTCATTGGATATCGTTCAAGTACGGTTCTGTCAAGTAGCTCAGCCGTGATTAACGCATGCGCGCGGGGGAAAAATGCTCCCAACATTGGCTGTGTTCCAAAATTCATTGTCAGCGTTGAAAATCTATAGTTTATGTAACGTATACTGTAGATTTTTAGTACTGGCAGTGATTATTGGAACACAGCCACTGACGGACCCCCAACTTGGCCGATGACGCCATGATCCATGTCGCAGTTGGATCGCAGTCGCCAGGCCCCCTCAATTATGAGTGTCATTGGCCGCGAGTCCTGCCTTCGGACATAAATACAGCTGCGATTCGATTTAATCGGGTAATTGACCGCATCCTGGTAAAATTAAACGCGGATCTTAAAAGCGCGATCGCAATTGTGCGGTAGAGATAAACGACCTTTATATATGAGGTGTGTTCCCGTACTGTTTCACGTTTTAAGGAGTGTCTCTCTTTCGCCTGGGCGAATCGGCATTTAAATCCATCGACAGAACCTTATCAAAAGTTACGGAGGGAGCGCGGTTTTTATTGGCGCGACCGAAATATCGCCCGTTTATGATCTCGCAGTGGATGACACATCTCGGTAAAGTGATCTAAAAACGTTCTCACTGTTGATTCGCCACCCATAAGAATGGAGTCGCGTCCCGAAATATCGTAATGAGAAACTGTAATTCAAGCGATACTTATTCCGTCAATTGTGACCGTAGCATTGTCGCACTTTGCAGCAGGTGAATAAAAATGCCTGCACCGCCACCTCCACCACCACCTCTGCAATTCAACTCTTCTGGCCCACCAGCAGGAGACAACAGAAATTTGTTGCTGCAATCTATAAGAGCAGGCAAAACTCTGAAGAAGACTGTCACTGTGGATAAAAGTGCGCCTGCTGTCACTGGTAAGCAGGCAAATTGTGTCTGGTATAAAAATATACTACTCACTGTTCTCACTCGACGGATTTAATTGAGCAAGGAGATTTTTTTTTCTCATCAAGATAATTAAATGCTACTTCATCCCTTTTGGAGCGCAGCTCTAAACAGAGTAACATAAATATTTCACAGGAAGAGTGAAAGGAGAATCGACCAGTCCTTCGTTTAGTAACAACAACAGTACAGTAAGCGGTTACTCCAGTAATGGAGGGCCGATGCAGCTTGGTGGTTTATTCGCGAGTGGTATGCCGAAGTTGAAACCCACCGGATTGAGGGGCAACACGACAGAGAAGAACGGGCATAATGTAAATAATCCCAGTTTCCTTCATTCGTCACCTGGATCATCTCACAGCATAAAACGCGGCCCACCTCCGGTCCCGCCGCCGGCCACACAAAAACCACAAGTATACAGTCAGGTAAAACCAAAACAAAACAGTCTGTAAAGTTGATCCACCGCAAAATCGGTTAAGCCATCTCCCTCCTTGCAGAAACCGTCGCCGCCGCCTAAGAAGCTGAATCTGACGAGTAGCGTGTCGCGGGCGCAGAGCATGAGACTGCCTCGCTCGTCGCCGGTCCTGGTGCCGACTTCCTTGCACCAATCGCAAGACTGTCTGAACGAGACGGCCCAGCCGACGAGGAGCCGGGTCCTCAGGCCACCCGTGGCCAGGCCGCCGTCTCCGCCGACCTCGCGAGCCAACACGATGCCCAACACCGCGACGAGAGCTGCGCCGCCACCGCCGTCGAGGGTCACGGTCACTGCGCCGTGCATACCGCCGCCGCCGCCTCCGCTTCCGCACCGGCCCGCGCACCAGAGACTGGCGCCGCCGCCGCCGCCGACTCCGCCCACCAGGAGCTTGTCAGTGCGTAACGGTCAGTCGACGGCGAGCCCCGTCGACCTGGAGATACGCTTCGCCGACATGTTTCACGCGACTCTCCCTCCGCCGGAGCCGTTCAAAGGCTTCGTCAAAGTCTACAGTAGCAGGAACGGTGAGAGAAAGAATGCGCTTCATTTTCCGTAGAACACACACTTGTGANTTTTGTAACGAGAGGATTGCGCCCCCCCCCCCCATGCTGTTCATATGACGACGCTGCACATTTCAGTTCGCTCGAGATTACTCTTTTTTTCTTTTTTTTACAATGCGGTCGGAAGGTTTTCTTTTTTACAAGACACTACCCTCCCTCTCATCGACGCTGCTTCTCCGCCTTCTACATCATCCGAGATACGCAACAGCAAATATCAAGACATCAACAACGTGTACGACAACACACTCGCTTACGTGCAATAAATTAAACTGCATGCCGCATTTTCCACCAATTACCAATGCATGAGTATTAACGATCTATATTGTAGAAGACACTGTGTGTCGTTGTTGTCGGAGGTGAAATAATCGTGACGTTTCCAAAATTACAGCAGCAAAGCAACAAGCTCCAGCTCCACCTCTTCAACCATCTTCTAACACACTGCACTCGTTAAATACTTCGTCTGGAAGTAAACAGTGGCAACACAGCGCAACCTCTTTGGCATATTGAAAAGCCCCTGTGTATACTTAAATCATTGCTTCGCGCAATTGATTATAATATATAAATATATATATAAATATTTATATATATAAATATATAAATAAATAAATAAATAAATATATATATATATATATATATATACACATATNTATATATACACACACATACAAAAACTTCTCGATGCTGCCACAATAAAATGTTAAACTAGGTGAGCGGGAAAGGATGGATCGCAAGGTATAAACATTAGAGAGTGTGTGAGAGAGATATCCTGAGTTTGTGAGCTCAGTTTTACAATAAAATGTTTTAGACAATATTTTCTGTACAGTTTATCTTAGGAAAAATCTATTTAATATAGATTATACTTATATAAATATAAATAAATATATATATATAAAAGGGAAAGAGCGAGAGAGAGAGAGAGAGAGAGAGAGAGTTTAGGCTTGTTATTACCTAACAGAAATGTCAAGGATATTAAAAAGTGAAAGGCACATTTACTCCAGTTCTAAAAAAAACAGCATACTCATTTAATCTTCCTAATCACACTGTACTATATATATCTTTCTTACACTTCTATAAAATTAACAGGAATCACACGCCAAAAATCATTAATTCATGACTCATTCGTATCGATGTATCATGATTCATCGGGTATTCATAATTGATTAGATGTTACAAAGGCCAAAATGTAAAGTTGTTGTAACTTATTTTTCAATATTAATAAACAACTGCAGCAGCGAATCGTTGATTTAAAAATGATCGTTACATGTTATTGTATAATAAAAGAACACACACACACACACACATACACACACGCCTTTCTCTTCTTCACGTACGTACGTAGAGAGGCAGTAACGATGCAAAGTGCTTTTAAATGAAACAGAAAGCCTTCTTTATCTAACAACAATATTTTTTTATTACTTTTCTTTATAATAGATTATAGTATTAAATATGAAAATTTCCAGACTCGATCGCGATCTACTTGATTTCACAGTCGAATATTAGCGTGTTGATTTGAAGTGCGGAAATAAATAATTGACTACAATAGAGCCGCAGCGGGCGAAATTTGCATTTCATTTCAACTACCAGAGAAATTTGTTAATTTGATAAATAAGACGTGCATACCAACAGTGGTTCAATATGTTTCACAAAGCATCCAAGAAATAAATAAGATACCTTTGGCGAGATGAAACACATTTCGAAAGAAAATATTACAAAATAAAATAGTTTTTTTATAATGATTTTAATTGAAACAATGGCGCTTCTCTGAAACTTTCGTAACAACGCACTGTTCGGTAGAAGACAACGAAGGGTGACATCACATTTGAATAAAATTTCTTATAATTCAAGCTCCCTCTCGATGATCCTGCGATATTCGTCGAAACCTTCCTCGATACATCGAACGGATCCTCCTCCGCACACCCACAGTTCTGTACAAACCATTCGGATCAAACGTTCGTCGTGAGACACTAAGATTACACCGGCCTGTAAGAAAAGCACACGGAGTCGTCAAGTACCGAATCAATTTCAAACAGGGAAGAAACACGGAATGAACACTCACTTGGCAGTTATTGAGAGCTTTACCCAGCGCTTCGATCGACTCGATGTCGAGATGATTCGTCGGCTCGTCGAGCACCAAGAAATTCGGCATCGCCGCGCACATCAGAGCGAACGCCACTCTGGACTTCTGTCCCCCGGAAAGGGAGTTGATGGTCTGCAGAGCCAAATTGCCGCTTATCCCGAAACTCCCGAGCATTCGTCTGTATTCTTCGATCGGTTTTCCTGGAGCAAACGCGCTGGATCAAATAACGTATTCAGCGTTGACGGACACACATCGACGTACCGGGGAAATGCCTTTGCAACAGCTCGACGGGGCAGATGCGCATGTCCAGCTGATCGACGTGATGCTGACTGAAGTATCCGAACTTCAGATTGCGGTGAACGTGGACCGTGCCGCGCGTCGGACTCAGTGCGCCCGTGATGATCTTCAACAGAGTGGTCTTACCCGTCCCGTTTTCACCGACGATGCAGATACGCGACTGCAGGTTGGCGGTGAGGTTCACGTTGCTCAGCACTATGGCCCCGCCGTTGTAATTGAAGGAGACCTCGTCGAGTTGCAGTATCGGAGGGCTGAGCGGCTCCACGTTGGGGAAGTTCAGGGTAACTTCGTTCTCTTTGTCGATCGGTGTCAAGTCGGGTCTGCAGGGGGACGCGGAATTTAGAAGGGCGATGGAGAGAGAGATGAAAGCACTTACAGCTTCTCCAACATCTTGATCCTGCTCTGTACACTGGCGGCACGGTTCGCATTGTAGCGGAATTTATCAATGAATTCCTGCACGTGCGCCCTCTTCGCCTGCTGGGCCTCGTACTCTCGTTGCTGGTTTCTCTCGCGTTCACCCTTCGTTTTCACGAATTGCTCGTAATTGCCGCGATACGCCTCTATTTTTTGGCCGCGCAGGTACAAAATATCAGTAGGTACCTATAAGAGAGAAAATTAAGTTCAACATTTTTGGCCTGTCAGATTAACTTTGATAAAGGAACCGAAACTAGTTCAGTTGAATTAATATTCAATTATTGAAGTTAATTACGCTGTGCGTATATACGTTTTTTATCATTCACTTTTTAATTGTAAATTAAATTTATGTGGGGCAAAAAGAAAAAAAAAACAAGTCTATCTTAGAGAGAAAATACCGACTCGAAAAAAACTGAAAATGTTGATTTTCTGCTCGGCTTTCTGTGTAAGAAAAGAACGCTACAGCTCTCAAAGGGATAAAAAATTAAGTTCTGCTGATACTATTCAAGAGGATGTTTACCCGAAAAAAATTCCTTGAAAATCCCCTGATTTTCCAGGCAATTTGTCGAAAATTCCAAGTGAAAGTATTTTATATCTTGCAAATAAATATATTGTGCCTTAATATTTTCCATTCATAAGAAATTAGAAGTCATAAGATAAAATTAAAAATCACTCGAGTTTCAATGATTAAATTTGAAAAATTTTAAAAGAAACTCTAAGGACTCTAAAAAAAAGAAACAAATGTTATATATTGCATAATTTCAAAATTTTATTTTCAAAAGTTACTAACACAAAAATTATATAACAGATACAAAATGCAACTTTTATAGATAAATAACTGTCTTAATTAAACAAAATTGCGCCTCAACGCAAAATTATTAATTTCAATATCGGACTAGTAAAAATTGCGTGCTCTAAGTATCAGAGCAATATAATTAAACATTTAAATTATGTACATAGATGTGAAACAAAAGAGAATCCATTATAACAAAAAATAAGTATTTAGACCATCATATAAGAAAATAAGTATTTAAACACAAAATAGGCTAATATTTCAACAGAAAAACAGCCTTAAATATATGCAAAAGATGTATGCAGAATGTTAATAAGTTATCGTTTATTAATTAAAATTATTTAAATAATCAAGCAAAGAAACCTATTTTTTCTGGCTTAATGAAGAAAATATTATTAAACAAAATTCACTCGATCACATAATACTTGTCTACGCGATAATCTAATTCGCGGACAAATGTCTATTTAAATCTCACTGATTTTCAATAAAATTTCCTGAGAATTCCAGGCTTTCCAGATTTTTCCAAGTAGTAAACACTCTGATTATTCTTGATTGCAATGATGATTTTATATAATATTAACTTGGGTAAAAAAAAAAGTTAATGGATTTTAAATTAAGTAATTCAAGTTAAAATTGATTAATTTTTGAATAACTGGTTGATAATAATCATGAATTACGCCGCGGAAACACGTTAAGGATACATTTCACGTCGATGAAACACATGGTGTTCGAACAGTCGATCAAAAGCTATGCTAATGTATGCTTGGCGATAGAAATAAAGTCTCACATAAATGAAAAATACATGCGCGTCCAAAAGTATATTTTATAGATATCAAATAGGAAAAAAAAAGCGATATGAAAAATTCACCGTCTGATATAACATGAGAATATCAGCGATATTTATCTAATCATTCGTGCTTTCTCTCCATATTTATTATTTTAAGTCGTTAAAGATGACTGATGCCACTAGTATCAATACTGATAAATAACGGCTCATTGCGCAACTTGACGTAACCGAAATATTTTCCCCGGCGAGAAAGTTGTTTCTTGCATGTTTGTATCCAATTAATTATTTTTGCTCATAGAACACACTGGAACATATATCCGTGACTTGAAAATATGAATGAGAAATATGTCTTACCGTGTCTAAGAACTTCCGATCGTGCGACACTACGAGTAACGTTTTTTCCCACGATTGTAAATACTTTTCCAACCAAAGTATCGCCTTGATATCAAGCATATTCGTTGGCTCGTCGAGTAAGAGCAGGTCCGGTTTGGAGAACAAAGCCCTCGCGAGCGCCAACCTCATACGCCAGCCGCCGGAGAAGGCTTGCGTGGGCCAAGATTGTCTTTCTACGGGGAATCCGAGTCCCGACAGGATCGCGCTCGCCTTGGCAGGCGCCTTGTCGACCTCGGCCAATTGCATCGCTTCGTACACCCGAGTCAATTCTTCGCCTAACGCATCGGCCGCTCTCGAGCCGTTTTCCTTCTCGATCATCGCTTGCAACTTTGTCTCTTGACTGAGCAACGTACTGCGCTCTTGATCGCACTCCAGCACAGACTCGAGCGCGGACGTATCGTCGCCGGCCACCTCCTGCTCGACGTGCAACACCCGCACGTGCGACGGTATTCTCAATTGTTTGCTAGAAATCGGTCAACGAAATTTGTTCGTAATTAATCGTTCGAAAAATTCGTTGTGTGAAAATGAACGAATACCTGGATATCATCCGAAGTAACGTGGTCTTGCCGAGTCCATTTCTGCCTATCAGACCGTACCGTCTACCGAATGTAAGTATCAAGTCGGCGCCTTGCAGCAACACTCTATCACCGTATGCGACATCGAAGTTCTCTATTCTGATGTTCTGAGTTTTGTTCACTCCGCCTTTAGTTTCCATCCGACTGTCCTTTTTACTTGTCATCTGGCTGGCGCTAGCGCTTGATTCGGACACATTATTGGCAGTATTAACACGGCTGGCCGATCCTTGCTCATTCACGATACGTTTCTCCTGCTTTTGCTGCAATTTCGCCTCAGCTTTCTCGAGCTTTTTAGCGTCCACTTTCTGCCGTACAAATAAATTGATACGTAAAAGAACTCGATGGTATTCAGAGGGAGTAAAACTGTAATGATATACCATTGCGTCGTCTCTAGTTGTGACCCATATACTCTTAATTTGTTCAACTTGAGCCTCTAAAGTGGCAGCCAGAGCACCCAAATGCACCGGAGCATTCAATACTTTATTAACACCGTTTTTCCTCCTCTCTATGTTGTCGTCATTGGTACTACCTTTTAACAGCTCTAACAACTTGACGCATATTTGTCTGTACACAAAGACTGCGATTGGTTGAAGCTGCGTCGGGAAATTCTTTTGGGAACGTAGTAAAGGGATAACAAATTTACAGACCTAACCTCGATTTCTGGCTTGTCCGCCACCTCGTGCAAGACCTCGCCTATCGCCTCGTACACCTCGTCGCCATCCTCGAAGTCGTCCTTGGAACTGTCCAGGATACCTTCGTACAGGAGAAGAGGCGCGTCAAAGAAGAAGGTTCTCGCGCCTCCTTAGGTTATTTCATACCTTCCACATATTGATAGAGTTCATCGTCTATTGTCGGAAATTGACTACGGATGTACTCGCCGCAGATCGCCATATTCTTAGCGTACTCTTGATTAGTAATGGGAAAATCCTAACGCCGGAGCGGGTCTCGCTTGACAGGTCGAACGTCAAATCCAGCCGAGTCGCCACCGTGAACACATGTTCACGCCATTTTTACCTGGGCCAGTAGCCTAGTCAAAAGCGTGCGCGAATCGGGAGATATTCCCGAAATCGGTCGCCTCTCTAGCGTCACTAGAATTTTTCGAATCGCCTCGAGTGCTCGCCCTATCTCGCGAGGTTTTCATTCGTTGCCTCTTCGATACGTTAAACGACCACCGCGGTAGCTGCCATTTCATCAAACGCTAAGAAAGGTCCGCATTGCGAGACGAGCCAATGGGAGAGCTTGTCTTTCAGGAATTCCGTGTCTCTAGCATCCTCTTCTATTGGCTGTGCAATAATACGTCAAGAGATATTGTTGATTTTTGAGCCGATTGAGTCTGACGCGATCGTTATTCCGCACGATGGCTTTTTAGGTTAGTTAAGAATCGTCGCTTGTTGATTTCCCTGTAAATAATTGTCGACGATGGGTTGGGCGAATTGCGTGGAATGAGATGTCGTCAGCTCCGACGATCGTCTCGATGCGCTCTCGTTAAGTGAATGACGCCGAGGGACGGAAATTCGCAAGAATTATAGCGACAATGGCGACCGACGTCGAGGAGTCGGACACGGACGAGAGACCTATTCCGCCTAAGCGACAGTGCACGCGACTGTCCAAGGTCAATGAAACTTGTTGGAATACGGTAATTATTCGTAGGTTCGACCATGTCCGTACGCAAACAAACCGGTGACTTCAATTTCTCTTTTCGTCGCTATCATCGTGCGCTATATCGTGTGCGAAAAGATGTTTGTCAACAAATAATTATTGCCGTAGGAGCAACACACGAATGTAAACATGGAGACGGATACTTTGGAGAACTACGACGAAGTGGAAAGACGCGCGAGGGAGAAACTCAAGAGGTGGCAGGCTTTCCAAGATGCCAAGGGAACCATGGACAATACCGTCAACAAAGTTTTGGAGGACTGCAATATGATGGCAGCGCTTGATTGTCTGGAGGAGGATCTTACCGATGGATTATTCCATTTCTTCCGGGAAAATGACATGGAAGATACGGCAGTGATGATGGCGATTCGTAATTATGGCTTGGTCCAATCAGTTGAGCCTCAGTCCCATGACGATAAGACTCGGACCGACAGTGATTACATAGGTGTGCATTGTTCTTTCCCATCCAATCGTATACAGGACATCAAGGACTTATCAGCCGCTCTACCCACAACCTCCTCCGATCCTTCGAGATCAAGCAATTCTGTAGAAATGGAACGTTGCAATGCATCAAACTCGGATGAAGATAAAATATATGACAGTGATCAGCCGGAAGACTTCTTGGAACGCGCTGTGGCGGAAGCGATCAAGAAGAAAGGCCTGAGTGCTCTGAGTGTGGATTACTGATGAATAAGCTGATCGAAACAGCCTCATTCCTTTGGTGTATTTACATTTGTAGTATAATACATCTAATTGTTGTGCTCTGTAAACTTATTGCGACTCGTAATATTTTATTTTATTGTTGATTTCTCTGTCGTACGACCAGTTGCAATGCATTTTATCACATGTAATTTTAGAATATTTTTTACCCAAATGTATACATTCCGATGTAGTAACTTGCTTATACGAGAGATGCAATTTGTGATCTGGTTATATTTAGAAAGATAACGCGAAACATTGTAATCGCCATTTTCCGATGATTTTTTTTAATAGCCAGCTACCGCTTATAGTATTAATATCATATTAATTATATTTCTATATATATATATATATATATATATATATATATATATATATATATATAAAATATATATATATAT